TATCTTTCTAATTCACACATATCACATATCCTTAAATTTTCCATTACTATCATTCCTTCATTATATTTATCTTGTTTTCCATCTTCTTCATTAGAAGTATATCTATCTCCTAAGAACTCTGTTCTTAAGGCTCTTTCAAATCTTTTTAATATTTCTTATATATTTTTATCATTTAAAGTGTTCCTATTATCTAATATTTGAGTTCTATTTTTTCCATATTTTATTATTTCTTTTATAGTTTATGGTAACTTTCTCCACCATTCAGAAACAATTTCTCTGAATGTATATTCAATAAATCCAAAAGCTGTATATGTCTCCCATTTATTAAATTGTATTGCTAAGTCGGTACTTTTCATCTATGTTTCAATATCTTTATTTTTATCCACACAGTCTAGATCCAACCATATTCCTGTTGTGTGGATTGGTTCATTATAAGATTTCACTGGATTTGTTTCTTTTATGGATTGTTTTATTATATTTCCAGTGTATCTTTTCTTTGTTTTTCTATATTGATTAATACCTTCTTTAATAGGTATCGTTGTATAATAAGAATAATCATATTCTTCGTCACTACTGAATTCTATTTTTATATTTTGACTTGTTGATGAATTAGTGTTCATCTTTGTATTTTCCATTTTTTCAGTCAATTCTTCTAATAGTTTTTTTATATTCATCATACTTTTCACTAGTAGATTCTAAAAATTTTTTGTTCTAGTTCTTCTACATTTGTAATCATGTATTGATTTTCTTCATTTTTTTCCCTTTATTATTTTCTTTTTGTATTATCCTAAAATCTTGAGGTGGATTAATTATAATCCTATCTTTTCCTTTAAGATTTTTATCTAAAAGAGCATTTCCTACTTGTAGATTATATTCTAAATTTTCTAGTCTTTTGTGTATATCCTCAAAATTTTCATTTGTAGTGTTTTAGGTAAATAGGGATAACTTGATTTTTTATGTTTTTCAACTTTTTTCAAAAATTCTTCAATTATATTTTCTTCATCTACTAAGTTCATCATAATTTTAGGTTCGTAACATGGTTCGAATACCATTTCGGAAGAGCATGCAGCGGAGGGGTTAAGATTTTGAATCCAATTAAAATCTTTATAAGTATTTAAAATATTACAATAGAATTTATAAAATTCATTATCTTTTGTTAAAACTTTTTCTTTAATAATTATATTTAATTTGTTAATTCTTCTTTCTAGTTAAAGAATTTGTTTATGTATATTATTTTCTATTTTGATTGCTCTATTATTTATATAAACATTTTTATATTTTAATTTTGGATCTAATTATTCTGTAAAGAAACTTTTTAGATCTTCTTTTAAATAGTTTAATTCATTATCTGTTGCATTTCTTAGATCAGTAAAATTTTGTATTATATTTGGGGTTAAATTTATTAAGGATTCATGATCTATATTTCTTTTGGGGACCTAATTGAAGGTTTTTATACATAGTATTGGCTTGGTTGCAAATTCTCTATGAGGGGTATTTTTGGAAAGATTATTATTCAAAGGTTATTCTTAAAATAATTATCTTTCTAGGTCTAATCTTAAAATTCACTCTTATATTTAGGTTATTTGCAGGTATTTCCTCCTCCTTCAACCATATTAGAGATGTGGCACCGACACTACTTTCTTCTCCTTCAACCCGATTTCAGATCTAAATCCGATTTGAAATCATCGAATTTAATTTGTAAGATCTTCGATTCAAAGGTTATTCTTAAAATAATTATCTTTCTAGGTCTAATCTTAAAATTCACTCTTATATTTAGGTTATTTGCAGGTATTTCCTCCTCCTTCAACCATATTAGAGATGTGGCACCGACACTACTTTCTTCTCCTTCAATCCGATTTCAGATCTAAATCAGATTTGAAATCATCGAATTTAATTTGTCAGATCTTCGTTTTTGTGTTGGGAGTGTTGTTGATGGCATTTTTTTTTTTTTTTTTTGGGTTTTTTTTATAACGATTTTGGTGCGTAGCATCTAGCCTCCCTTGGGCCCCCTTTCTTTCAATTTTAATAAGGGCCTATAATGGTGGTGTTAAAATTTAGGTGCAGCTTTGATGGTGGTAGTGGTGGTGATTGCAATTGTGGTGATTACGAACTTTTAAAATATATGTTATAAATGAGGGCGAGGGTGATCTTGGTGGTAAAATATTGAATGTTATAAATGGTGGTGGTGGTGGTGGTGACGAACATGACAAAGATTGAAATATGTGAACACATTTTGTTACAAATGATAAAACATGGTGATGAAATTTGTATCTAACATAATTTTACAAATGCAATATTGTGTTGCAAAATTTATTGTAAAAAAATAAAAGAAAAACAACATTTTGATTATAGAAAAATGTTTAAAAGTAAGTATGGAATTAGTACTATTTTAATGTATTTGTGAATTTTTCTATTAAATCAACCAAAGCTTCCCAAACCGGCCTGAAGAAGAAAGTTCCAACACAAGATGCGTAATAAGTACATGAGCAAGACATTTGCTTCACGTCGAGTAAAAGCACAAACGATAAAAGGATAAAAGAGCAGCAAATCAGAAATATTAAGGAGAGTAGTGCACTTTTAGGCCTTAATGGATGTTGATGCAATCGGACTCGAGATAAGAGATGTTGAAAATACTATTCTACGTTTTCAAAAATATTGTATTACATTAATAACATATTCGTATTACTCTTTTTCAAAACACGTAATACACCTTTTGTAACACATTAATATACATGTTACACTTTTGTAATGTGTAACGTGATGTTTTATACCATGCCACCATCACACATCACACCAACAACCTTCACCACGGGCTCCAAACCCTCCTTTGCCTATGTACCACCACTTGTACCATTTCTTTGTCCAACACCATATCCAACAACCCTTACCTGCACATTTTTCTAATTCTCCACCACTTGTTTTTAATTTTAATTTTCAGTTTGAGGAAATGTGCTTTAAAAATGAGTGTTTTAGAATCACCTGAAATATATGATTAAAAATAAATTTTAAAAAAATGGTGGCTAATGAAAAACCCAACAATCGGATAAATTTAAATAATCAATGGGTTGTCGATTCATCATTTTGATTCAAATTATTTTGTTCATACAATTTTTCTTTAATTTAATTTGACAATTAAAAAATCATAAGAAAATCTTCTCTTTTTATTCTTGGGTTTTGCTACTATTCATAAGTATTGCCTATCATAGGCTGTCTATGTGGTGCTCCACATAGATTAAAATGTCCAATTATTATATTTTTATTTAAATTAAAATGGATATTGTTAATTACTAAGATGTTGAACCTTCTAAATCATGTATAGAGGCACATAGACCATTGTTCATGCCTTTATTCGGATTTTTATTCTTATTCAATTTTATTTAAATTGAGCGATAAAATATCTAATTTGCGTAAATTATGTTAATTGTATGAAAAATTCCAACTTGTATACAATTGGTGTGAGAAAGTGCTATTTGGAGCTTAATTGGAGTTGATTCGAAACAATTAAATATTAACCGAATTGCTATTAGAAGTAATAATAGAGCATCCGATAAAAAATATAAGTTTTGAAAGTTTAATTCGATATTTGAAAGTTTGGAGACTAAATTACAAACTTTTGTAACTTACATTCGGTCAATTATTAATGTTTAAAGATGAAAGCGACTTAATTGCAAATATTGAAAGATGAAGGATTAAAGTTGGATGAGAAAATGTGCCCAATTGAAAAAGAAATTATATCCTTTTTCTTTTTAAACTCTTTATGGAAACAAATTTGAACAAGGATTTGGACTTAAATCTTGTTAAATAAATGCATGCATTAATCGGACAATTTAAGGAGACTTGCATGGTTTCATTATACACATATATTTAAGTAAAGAGTTTTATCAATTATACATATATTATGTAAGTCAAAAAGGTCTTTTGGAATACAAAATTCATATAAATTACAAGGAAAAAAAACCAAAAAAGGAGATAAAAAAACCTACCAAAAAGCTAGATTTCAAGATTTTCATAAGAAGATGACGAATTCTTGGTGCAAGATCTTTATCTTTCTCCATGTTTCCTTAAAATCCTCTATTGTACTTCAATTTCTTCTTATGTTTTTCTTTTTCCATGGTGTATAATTAATTAATTAGTTAGTTAAGATGAACGATTGTAATATACTTTTGAACCTTAATTTTAAGAAAAGGTTTTAAATATCCAATTGATGTTGTAAACTATTTTTATTTATCCTCTTAATATTTTTGGACTAATTGGCCACCGATTCATTGATTCTTGAGCAATAATTACATCGAGGTGGATTATTTATTTATACCATATAATAAAAACCTAGAATTTGGATAAAAGAGTAGAGATACACTTTTATTGTTATCGCGATTGTTACATAAATTCTTTGGTAATTGAATAGTCTTGATTAAGGCTAATTTGTATTTGCATAAATACACGGTGGGTTGAGTTAATTAGGTGGGATTGATTTGAACTTGAGGGATACAAATAATTAATTTTGAAGAATTCGATCGACAAATAATCAGCTGTTATAAGAATTGGTGATTAAGATTGAGGAGATAAATTATGGTAAACTCGTGAAACATAACATTTAAAAGATCATATAAAATATCCACATTTTTAATTATTTTTGTAGATTTATAATATTTAGGATAACAATTAAAGCATATCTATTTATAACTAATCGAATTGAAGTTACAAAGAGTTGAGCCAACGGTTAGATAATAATCTTTGTGGGTTCGATAATTCGAACTCTTAAATTCACTTTATTACTTGTTTGATTTATACACTTATATAAAATATAAAATCAACAACTGTCCGTCATAGGTCATGCCTATGAATAATTATTCATAATTTACTTCAAGGAAATTTTCGAAAATGGAAAAATTCGTCTGGGCTTGTACAAATCCTGGGCCAATGTGTATTAGGCCCACTGTAAACCTTCGGGAACAAAACCGTCAATTGGGAATGTTGAATTCCAAACTATAAAAGCAAGAATATCTTCCTGTGGCACCACCGCTTACAGCTGACCAACATTTTGCTGCTGCCCAATCAATCATAATTGCATTTCGCACTCTTTCTCTGTTCTTCTTCAGGTAAGCAAAACTATTTCCGCGTTGTATTTTATTTATCGATTTGTATAACCATTTAATCTTTATGTGAACTCATGAATCAACTTAATTTATTCGATTTGAATACTATTCTCTCGATCTCCGTTCAGCTTTGTTTTCCTTCATCGTAATTTTCATGCTTGTTTGATCGGTAAGTAACTCGTTTTATTCCTGATCCTTCAATTTACTTGATATACCATGAAATTAATTTAATTGGTGAAATCGATTTGTATAACCATTTAATCTTTATGTGAACTCATGAATCAACTTAATTTATTCGATTTGAATACTATTCTCTCGATCTCGGTTCAGCTTTGTTTTCCTTCATCGTAATTTTCATGCTTGTTTGATTGGTAAGTAACTCGTTTTATTCCTGATCCTTCAATTTACTTGATATACCATGAAATTAATTTAATTGGTGAAAAACTAGAATTTGTTTAACTTAAACTAGAATTTGTTTAACTTGGCCTAGTATAAATTCCTTGCGGTGCAGAGGAGACATGTTTTTTATTAAGTCAATTACGTAATGTCTACAATTACGTATTTTGAGCTATCCTAATATTGAGTAAACAACTGTTTTGATGCTCTGCTTTTGTGCATGCTTAAAAGCGGATGCGCCTCGTAATTTTTTAGGATTCTTTGTTGACTTTGCAATGTATCTTTTCAAAGTATTGTCCTGTAACACTTGGAGGACGTGATGCCATTTTTAATTTGAAGTTCTGATGGATAGTCTTTTAGATAACCTATAACCCTTATTTTTTGGAGTTCCGTTAATGCAATTCTCTTTTGTCCTAAAACAGAAAGACCGAGGAGTCTAGTGTAGTTGTAGGTCCATCTATTTATTCTACTAAAGCCTAAATGCAATGTTGTCTCGTGAAACATTTTGGGTTATTGGTCAAAACTGTCAATGCGTGGGGTGAAATAATTAGTGATTATTACAAATAATGTATTCTCCGTAGACCAAAATGTCAAAACCTGATGGGACCGGATAGAAAGACCGAGGAGTCTAGTGTAGTTGTAGGTCCATCTATTTATTCTACTAAAGCCTAAATGCAATGTTGTCTCGTGAAACATTTTGGGTTATTGGTCAAAACTGTCAATGCGTGGGGTGAAATAATTAGTGATTATTACAAATAATGTATTCTCCGTAGACCAAAATTGTCAAAACCTGATGGGACCGGACCGAACAATTCGACTCGTGAAAGTGAACTGGAGCCGAATCCAGTTCAGTTAAGTGATTAAGCCGCTTGCTAAAAAACTGGTAGATAAACCCGTCAACCGGACAGTTCAACCCTTGAATGGGATGAATCGGTAACGTTTTTCACGATTTCTCTGTAAAAAATTTCTTTCAACCACATTTTTATCTTCACAGTCAGCACTAGGCATTGACTTGAAGAGCAGTCGGCAGATCTATGAACATGAAAAGGAAAGAGGTGGTGCTGGTAGAAATGCTATTATTGTTCAAATTGTTATAGAGAGAAAGAGAGTAGTTGATTTTATTGAAAGGAGATAGAGTAATTGGTCATTTTAATAAGGACCATGAGGGGAGAAAGAGGTGTGCAGGAAAAAAATATGAAGTCTTTGACTCAATTATCAAAGAGTCAATTGTAGGAAATTGCATATTTTATGAAATGTTTTAAAACTTAATGATACATCTTTGACTTTATATGGCTTTATTTGTTAGTTACTAATTCAAATTTTATTTTAAAATAGATAAAAAGTAATTATATTTATTAATTTATATATTTTATTAATTATTTTTTCCTTTCGGTTAAAACCCTGTTCAACTATTGAACCATCGACCCTTGACCCTTTGAGTGATTTTAAAAACATTGATGCAAACTTCTGAGTTAAATTTCCCATCCATCACTTGTCCCATTGATATGTACAATTTTTTTGTAAGAAATAAGCAGTCATTACACTCATTAGAATGTCATACCCATTGCTTGAAAGAACTATTTGAAGTTTACACCTTGATACCCTCCTTGTGTGAGGCTTTTAGGAATGCCTTGAACCTTAAGTGTCATTTGTGAGGTTTCGCCTTGATTTACTGACTCGTATCTATTTCATATATATTACTACTGCAAAGATTATCTTCGCTTACTGTTTTGTAAGTTGTCATTTTAATGCCCTCTTAACTCTCGTTCTATGTTGATGACGATGCTATTTTGAGCTTATGCTAGTATCTTACGATGGCCTAATTGGCCAAGTTGTCTTTCTTGGTGTGCACATGGTTGGGACGAGAAAATAACTTTTTCTAAGATTGAAGAATATATTTCCATCACTCTATATCCCACACCAATGCAATTCGCTTTGAGCAACACCCCATTAATATAATTTGGTTGTCAATTCCAGGTATTTGTAAGTTGTATCCCGGAATTTGATTAAAGACAATTTTAGCCCGTAACTTTAAGCCTTATTAAATTTTATCAGGTTGCTCTCGTGGTTTAGCTCTTATGTGCGTTTAATTTTCTGTTTGGACATTAACTATTTAATTTCTGAAATTGGATTGATGGTTGATATGCATATAGAAATTCTAGTCTTCTTTATTACATAATTTGCTCAAATTATTGCAGGGTTAACTGATATGATATGTTGAAGGCGGAATAGCTCTGAAATCACCTTGTTGGACTAAACGGCAACGCAAGAATTGAGATTTAATGGTGTAATATGAAATATGTAAAATCACAATCAATAGAACAAGACTAACGTAAAGACACAAAAAAAGAGTTAAGCAGAGGAACCAATGTTCTATTCAACAACAATATGGAGAGAATACAGCTACAGCAATTAAATTTGAATAGGATTCCTCAATAGCATTCCAATTATAATTCCTCTTGAAGTGCACTTCAATTAGAATTCTACAATTATTTCAACAAGAAATTCGGTTCACACTCAAATTCTAACAATATTCACTTTGACATGAATTCCACTACAACGAACAAAACTCCAAAATTTGTTCACCTGGAAAAATAAATTCAACTGCAACGAAATAAACTGAACTCTTCAACCAGAACCAAAACTCTCCATTCCACAAAAACATCTTCCTCTGCACGACGTCCACAAACGATATTGGAACCCTACTTTCGAGTTCCCAAAATTCCACCTATTCCCAAAGCATACTCTATAGCAGAAACTACACAAAATGCATGATCAGTAGGCCCCTTGCTAAAAATGTCACCTTCAACAATCCTGAAAGCATTACAGATATCACAATACCACTGTACCTACGCTCAATGGATCAAATCCTAGCAACTGAACACAGTGTATCCGTTGAAATTGATGGCAAAGCGGAATCACCAATGCTCTTTGAGCAATGTTTTGAATCGATTCAGAGCCCATCACAAGAAGTATTGTATCAAACTGAATTTCCTCCACGGTACGAAACTTGTTCAAATATCTCTTAACTAGTTCTGCGCTCCCTTGTAATATTTACAACTAAGACTTCTTCTGTTCTTTCAGTACAACCCGGACATCCATTCGGATCTTCAAGATTCCACCTCCACCAGAGAACTTATACCCTTTTGAATCCAAGGTAATCAACGAGATGAGATTCCTCTTCAAATCTGGAACATGTCAAACCTGACCAAGTGTTCTGATTGTCCCATCTTGCAATCTCAATCTGACTCGACTGTTTCCAACAACCCGATAAGACTGGTTGTTTTCCATGACAACTCCACCTTGCTTAACCGCCTCATATGTCTGAAACAAGTCCTGATTGGAACACGTATTATGCGAACATGCTGAATCAAGAATCCACTCCTTGTCAGGCTTAGACTCCATGTCAGATACTACGGTCAACATCACATCACCGCCATCCGAAAAATCCTCAACTACATTGGTCTCGTTTGAAGTCAATGATTGCGTTCCATGATTTGCAGCTAAATCACCTTTAGCCTGCAATTTATCGCAATCCTTCTGAACATGTCCTTTCCTTCTGCAGTAGAAGCAATACAAGTTGCTGTAGTTCACCTTCGATCCGCCCTCTATCAACCACCTTGAGATACTAGAGCTTCTTCATCGTTAGATGTAGCTCATGTTTCATCTTCTCCTTTGGGTATGAAGCATCGTAAGCATCTTCAATGATAAGCGTGTCACAATTGTACAAAATCGTGTCCTAAAACGACGAATAAGAGGCGGGCAATGAACACAACAGGATCAAGGCTAAATCTTACTTATCATACTTGACCTTCAATGTCTCTAAATCTGCGACGATTTCCTTGAACACAGCAAGGTGGTCTTCCAGCGATTCTCCTTCCGCCATGCGATGGGAATATAGCCTTTGCTTAAGATGCAGTTTGCTTTGAAGACTTCTCGTCATGCACAACGGCTCCAGTTTTAACCACAAAGTCGCCACTGTCTTTTCCTTTAAGATATCTTGCAGAATGTTATTGGAGAGGTGAGGATGAATCTTCGATAGAGCCTTCCTATCCTTTCGTCCTTTATTCTCTATTGTCCAATCAGCTAGCATCATCTAAATGCATCTGCGCTAAAATAGCTCTCATCTTTACTTGCCATAGCGAAAATTTCGTATTGCGATCTAGCAGTGGAATATAATATTTCAAAGTAGTTATCTCTAGAAAAATTTCAATCAAATCACGAAGATCCTGCAGCCTAGCTAGGATATCACTTATTGAATGTGGAATAGCTCTGAAACCACCTTGTTGGACTAGACACAAGAATTGAGATTTAATGGTATAATATGAAATATGTAAGATCACAACCAATAGAACAAGATGACAGTAAAAAAAAAAAAAAGAGTTAAGCAAAGGAACCGATGCTTTATTCGATAACAATATGGAAAAAATACAACTACAGCAATTAAACTTGAATAGGATTCATCAATAGCATTCCAATTAGAATTCCTCTTGATGTACTCTTCAATTAGAAGTCTACAATTATTTCAACAAGGAATTTAGGTCACATCCAAATTCTAACACGATATATTTGCTGAAAATTACTAAAAGTTTATGGTAATTCCAATTTGTTCTAAATATATTATAGTCCAAAAATTATCGTCTCCGGGATAAGCAGACCAATATACCTTGCTTCTAGTTTTGAATTGCTAATTTAGTGGCCGAGTTGTCACTTTTGTTGTTTAACTTCTGAAGAGTACAAATTTTGTTCATGAGTTGCTTTTTATGTCGTTGATTTATTTCTTCTTATGTAATTTGAGAAGTTGGTCTCTGTCTCCATGTTTAATTTAAGATATTATTTGCAAGTCTCAGACATGCACATTTTTAGTAAAGAATCAGACGTGTGTGCTCACAAACAAAAAAAGGTTAAGCTAGACTTGGCTTGTTGTAAGATGATTCAATTGTCTCAAATCTGATTGTCAAAACAATGAAGATTAAAGGTTACAAGTCAACAAGTAAAGTAGGAGTAACACTTTTGAGGCTATAGCACTTGTAAAAACCAGAAGAGGAGCTTCTTAAATTATTTAGTACCACCTTTTTTTTTTACTGGTCTTGAAAACAAAATGCGGATAGATTTCTGGTTTTCTTTTACACAAGCACATGTTTGCTATCTTCAAAAAATAGCACCACAGTATCTATAGAAATATTTATCATTTTCCTTTTCAATTTTTGTCATTTCCTCTCCTCTTCTGCACAATTGCTTCATTTCCCATGAGCTATGATGCACGGACACTTCTAGGATGGTGTATCTGTGTTTGATAAGCTAAAAAGTATCGATACTTGTAAACTTGTTACATACTCGTATCCGATAAGCTCCAATACCATTTGATACCCTTTGACTTATTTTTTAATTATTTTATATATTTTTATATTTTCTAAATTTTCGATACGTATCCATGTATGTATTTTTAAATTATCTTATATTTTTGTATAATTTTTGACATGTATCCAATACTTTATGGTTTACATGTACCTTTACTACACAATATTACTTTGAAACTTTTTATACAACCTTCTTCATGTAGTGTTGAAAGAAATTGAAGTACTGTATTAACGTTTTTATATTAAGAAAATTATGAATTTTAGAACACATCTCGACGTATCCTAATTTTTTTTAAAAGTTTGTATCGTATCTGAATTACGTATCCATATCCGTGCTTCTTAACTGATAAGTATAGTTTCTTGTTGGACACCGACCAGCGATGATCTTTGAACACTTCATGATGTGGGTCAAATAAGCTACATGCTGTGCCTATTTTTCATATAATCTTTAAATTTCTAACACTTGAGATGCTCTGGAGACATTCCTCAGTTAAGTGTTCAATATGGCATGTGTTGTGTCTTGTATTAAAAAGTATAACAATAAAGATATTATATATAAATTCAAAAATTTAAAGAATTTAAATCGACATGTTCCTTATGTGTCCATATCCTACTTTTCTAGAAAATCACATGTCAACGAGTCTTGTTGCATGTTCGGGACAGTGCAACATAGCCTGTAACTGTACGTTCACCCATGCCCAAAAGACCAACATATCTGGACCTTCTAATGTGGCGGTACACCAAAATTGCCTCCAAAATAGCACATCTCTGATGACCATTGGATATTTAGTGAAAGGACTATTTAAAAAAAATGGAGGAAGGGAAAAATTGAAATTCCCTCCTGATCCCCCACCCTTCAGCCCTCACACGGTACCTGTTCCCATTGGGAATGATCTATTTTTGTTTAGATGCTCAAAATTATATTATTTTCCTGTTTTTGGGTGTTGCCAGTGCGTTTTTACTGGCCTTCCTTAATCTAGTTAAATCTAGACATCACTGACAGCATCGGCATAGTTGTTATCATTGTCGTCACCAATGAAAGATGAGTATATTAATGCATAACCCATGCTTTTATTATATTGATGTTTATTTGTTATTTGGTTAGAGGAATTTTTTTCCTTTATTCGTCGTATTCTTTTCTTCCATTTCCTCCTCCGCTTGACCTAAGTGGAGTTTCTACTTGTTTGTTTGGTATTTGCACTTCTATGGATCAGTCTTGTGCTTGGAAACTTGGTCTTTATTACTTCTTGTAGGTAGTCATTAATTAATTTTTCAACTTTTCCATTTAGGAACTTCAGAATTTCAAATGGAGCTGAGTAACATCAAAGATGCATTTGATCGTGTTACAAAGAAGCAGATATCGTTGTCCTCAAAATTTCAAGAAATAATTGAACAAATTGGGCAAGAGATAGAACAAACATTATCTAGAATACAATCAGGTCATGCATCTGCATCTGATTGTAAGTTGATCCTTGGTGAAGTAAAAGCCAAGTTGAAAGAAATTGCTCCACTCAACCAGATGGAAGGCACACAAAAGGAATTGAACATTGCTTTGAGCAAGTATCCAAAAATCCTTGAGAAATCCTTCAATCCCGATATATCGAAGGCTTATCGTAATGTTGATTTTGATATTCATACTGCCAATCAAATCATTGCCAGTCATTTCTATCGGGAGGGTCAGTTTGATATTGGTGATTTTTTCGTCCACGAGTCCGGGAAACCAGAAGCTGCGGCTGATAAATCTCCTTTTTTGGAAATGTATCAAATACTTGAAGCCATGGAGTCACATAACCTGGAGCCTGCTCTGAATTGGGCTTCCACCAACAAGGAACAACTTATACGAAGTGGATCTGACATTGAACTGAAGTTTCATCACCTTCGGTTTGTGGAGATCTTGCAGAACAACGGCAGTGATGAAGCTCTGAAGTATGCTAGAACATTTTTCGCTCCTTATGCTTCCAGTCATATGGCTGAAATTCAAAAGCTTATGGCTTGTCTTGTATGGGCTGGGAGTCTCGATTCCTCTCCATATTCCGAATTATTATCCCCTGTGCACTGGGACAAATTGGCTGAGGAGTTCACCCGGCAGTTCTGCAACCTTATTGAGCAATCATATGAGAGTCCGTTGAGTGTGACAATTGCAGCTGGAGTTCAGGGGTTGCCAACCCTTCTAAAACTGGTGAATGTCATGACTGGTAAAATGCATGAATGGCAATCCATGAAACAATTACCCGTGCCCGTGGATTTGGACGGAGAATTCCAGTTCCATTCGATGTTTGTTTGTCCTGTGAGCCGGGATATAGCAAGTGAAGAGAACTCCCCTATGCTGATGTCATGCGGTCATGTACTGTGTAAGCAATCTATTACAAAGCTGTCCAAAAATAATAGCACTCGGCCTTTCAAGTGTCCTTACTGTCCCTCTCTGGTCGAAGCAGGTCAGTGCAGGCAGCTTTGTTTCTGATCTTTGTTAAAAGATTTACTATGCCCCATCCAAAAAAAAAAAAAAAAACTGTAATGTTATGAAACTTAGGGACACGATATCATCTAGGGTAGATTTGGTCTCTGTATAACGTTTAGTGAACTGTAAATAGATATTCTTTGCATATTTATGGCAGTATCATAGGCATGTATTTTTCACTTGAACCAGTAAAACTTCAAACTTGGGCCATCATAATAATGACAGGGAAATAGTGCTCTCATGAATTTAATACAAATGATACATAAGACTTTTACCTTCTCCTTTTGTTAGGGTAGCAAAAATCTTGTAGAATTGACACTGACATGAAACGAATATGATGTGAAAAGTGGCATCAAATGGTTCTCCCTACCCATGGCTATTCTTGTGAACTTGTACTCATATGATCAAGTGTTCTTCAAAATTCTAGAAAAGTCAAAAACCTACCATGGTTGAAATAGCTATGAATACACTTCAAAATTACTTTTGGGGGCAACATGTCATTTGCAAAAGAATAATACTATCTGTAGTCACTCATTATTCGAGTCGTCCCATGTGGCACGCGTGTGACGGTTAGTAATTTGACATATGTGAGAAGAAAAAACTACAACATTAATATATCCAATCACAAATCGTCATGTAAGATGTCACGTATGATCATTGTCGCAGTGGACGATTATGAATAGCACTACTTTTTGCAAAAATGCAATAGATAAATAAAAATGCGGGCAATTCATTATTTATGGTAAAAAGTTATAAAGCTGCGCAATTTCAGGATGCAAAAAGGTGAAGAAAATTGTCACTAGCCAATGTAAAGGTGCATGAAAGAGCCCTTTCTAGTTTTTAATTGTTTCAGATTCTTCTTCTACTCCTCATCCTCCTTCTCATCCTTTCCACGGAGACTTTCACATTCAAAAGTTTCCCATTCTTTTCCTTAATTTTTACAAACGTGTAGCTAAAGTCTTGCCAACATCTAATTATTACAACATCAAAAGTTTGTTCCCATATTTCTCGGGGTTTTCACCC